TCCAAACCCTCAGGACAAAAACAAAGCGTATTTATAGGGCCATATCAACATTTACTACAGATCTAATGTAATCAGAAGTATTACAGATACATTCATCCAGTCTTGTTTTTTCCTGGCAGCCGTTGTTTTCCATTTATTTGCATTCATCTCAGCACACTATAGAAACCAGTTTCAGAGACTTCAGAGAGCTCTCCACTCCATCGGTCTTATTTTATTGTTTTATCATTAACATGTGGTGACAAAGTTAGATTAAAATTAAAAACCTGAGAGAAAGTAAACTGATGGATCTGCTCAACATGAATTCAGCTTCAGCTCGTTTATTACTGAAGAGAAATAAATGGAAAGGTTCAGATATTATTCACACAGTCTTTAATAGAGGAGCTTAAATATGCAAGAACTCGGATATAATGTTATTAATTCTGTGACTTAACCTTCAAGTCTAATTTCTCAATTGTGTTTTGACTGTCATGTACCAAAAAAAGTCAAATTCATAATTGTTGACTTGTTCTTTGATCCTGTAATTTCTCCTTGAAATCGTAGTTTAAGACCATGTTTTAATTAAACAAAGCGCGTCACGTGTGGCTGCTTGTATTTAGATGAATTTTAGCATTTGAAAAAAAGAAAGAAAAAAGGATTTTTAAGAAACACAAGTTTATATTTCTCAAACCAAGTATTGAGATATTTGAATTTAGCTCTAGAATTAATGTGACTTGTTTCCCACTTCAAGACTTTCCTAGCTTTTTCAGTCGTAGTGCCGTGACATGCAGCAACGTATCCTCAAACATTTGTTCATTTGATATCCTACAAAACAGCGGTGCATAAGAAATCCTATAAATTATCACCCCATGAATGATGCTAGGTTCGTGACCTACAGTTACATAATTAACGTAAAGCTACAGAGGTTAGGTTTAGGAACAGAAACATGGTGACGACATACCATAAATTGACTTAAAGTTCACACTGTTGCGAACATCGGTCTCCTGGGGAAAGTCCTGTGTTTTGTGACCAGCCACCCCAACCTGCCTCCTAACTGGGACCATTCAGGACTACTTCCATCTTTACTCCCATCAGCACGCTGGTCACATGATCTCAGCCTCCCAAACTACGTGGGTTATTCATGAATTACTGGCTCATTATTACATGGGATATGTACAAATTTTGGTGCATTACTCTCTGTACAAACATCCTGCCTGCAGCAACAACACTGACACTCATTTCCAGAAAAGTTCCTGGAAAATCCAAACTGCACCTTTCTCTCAGATTTGGTTACAGTTACTTCTGTGCACACGTGTTGGGAAGGCAAGTAACTTTTTGGGGGCAAGCTTTGTGCTGCTCTTAAATGATACCTCCTCATTAAATTTAAAACACAATCAACACACACACACACACACACACACGCTGGATAAAACCACGGAACTACTGTCATTACCATTTCTATTTATTACTAAATTATGGATCCATGCGCTGTGCTAACACTATATGGAGATCTTTGGCTACATGTCAGGGTCAGGCCGCCACCAAGGTTTGGCTTTTTCTCTTGTTTTTGTTTTGTACTGTGGTTGGGTTCTTTTTTTTTTGTGTGTGTTTGTGATTTTATGCCACCGCGCCAGAAATAGCTGTGGCTGAAGGCATTGTGTTTTCTGTCCATCCGTATGTTCCATTTTTGTGAGCACCATATCTCAAGAAAACCTTAAGGGAATTTCTTCAAGTTTGGCACAAACGTCCACTTGGACTCAGTGAAGAACTGATTACATTTTGGTGGTCAAAGTTTGACATCACTGTGACCTTGCATCCGTTTCATTCTTGTAAATGTACTATCTCACGAACACCTTTAGGGATTTTTTTTAAAGTTGGCACAAACTTTTACTTGCATTCAACAATGAGCTGATTAGATTTTGGTGAACAAAGGTCACTGTGACCTTGCATCCGTCTTAATTCTTGTAAACAAGATACCTTAAGAACACCTTAAGGGATTCTTTTCTACCAAATTTGGCACAAACGTCCACTTAGACTGAAGAATAAACTGATTAGAGGTTTGTGGTTGAAGGTCAAAGGTCAGTATGACCTCACAAAATATGTTTTTGTCCATAACTGAAGAAATCATTCACTAATTCTGACCAAACTTGACACAAATGTCTAACAGGATAAAATAATGAAGGTCAAAAGGTCAAAGGTCAGCTTGACTGTGACATCATCATGTTTTAACATCATATCTCAGGAACAGAAGGGGAGACATTTGGTCAGATACTGAATTGGTGACTCTAATCTTGAACCTGTGCTGATTGTATAGATCTTCTGTGTGTGAAGCATCCATGTTTTCAGAAACTGAGGCATAAAATCAAAGATGAAAAAAAAAATTAAAAACTTGATCACAACAAAAAAGAAATTTCCTGAAACGTCTCCCCAGAAAGAAATGGACTGAAAGCTAATTATCTCCTCATGCTGACAGAATCTTGCTCTCTCAGTTTGAACTTTGGAGTGCATTGTCGGTTTCGGCTGTGATGTGACGGAGAGCGCCGCTAAAACAATGTGACGTTACATCAGCTGAATTTTACACAAAGTGTCGGAGCACATCTGCTCACCTCAGCGGCCTCTGGGTTTGTGGAGACTGCTTTTTATCGCCTCAACAAGCTGTAATAACATTTTAACTGGAAGCTCTTCCTCTCCGTTACGTCTCTGCCTTTAACTCCTCCCTCTGCTGCTTGTTTCTCTTCGGCCTGTCTGCGTTTCATTCAGCCCGTCGTCTCCGTGTTGTGACACCGCGCAGTAAAGAAACACTTTTCTCTTTCACTCTAATGTGTTCATTTCCTGCTCGGGCCGGTCTGGATAAGCCTGGTTTTGTGGTGGTTTGGGGGGTTTGGGAGGAGGAGGGGGGAGCAGGTGTAACCAACCCCAAATTGGGTCTAATCCACGACATGCCGTCTAACCACATTCCCACCCTTAATGACTGCGCAGCTCTCACCAGCCAAACGCCACATAATGCACCTTTAATACACCTTTAATCCTCCACACGGTGCCATCGCAGCGCCGCTGTTTGTGTTTGTGGCGGCTTCACTCTGCTCGGCTGCTGCTGGGTTGTCGGGTGGTTGTTTGGTTGGTGGGATTTTGGTCGGTTGGTGTTTTTTCGGGGCTGGCAGACGACCCCCCCCCCCCCCAACCCATCCACCAACAGACCCACATTCCTGCCTGAGAGCCAAGAAAGAGGCGACACAGGCTGAACTGACACTAAAGAGTCTGTGTGGCCCCGAGAGACAGACCGACAAATCTGACGTTGACGAGACGCCCTGTGATCGACTTCTGTGATTTACTTCCTTCTCTCCTTTTTTGTTTCCTTCTTCCTCGCTGCTGTTCTTTTATCCTTCCTTGTGTACTTGCTACTTTCCTTCTTTGTGTCATTCCTCTTCTCTTCCTTCATTCTCTCTGTGCTTTTTGCTTTCTATTCTGTTTCTTCACTCTGTCCTTCCTTCCTTCCTTCCTTCCTTCCGTCCTTCACTCCCTCTTTCCTTTCCTGCTTTCCTTGGGTATTTTTATCCTTCTTTGCGTCCTTTTATCTTTCCTTTGCCACTCATTTCTTTGTTTTCTGTCATCTTCTCTTCCTCCTTTGACCCTCTCTGTACGTCTTTATTTCTTCTCTCCGTTTTTGTTTCTGTTCTTTTATCCTTCCTTGTGTACTTGCTTTCTAGTTTCCTTCTTTGTGTCATTCTTCTTCTCCTCCCTCATTTTTGTTTCCTCCCTTCCTTGTGCATTTCCATCTTTCCTTGCTTCCTTTTATCTTTCCTTCTTCACTCCTTTGTTTTCTGTTTTCTTTTTTATTAATTTGTTTAATTTTTTCTGAGGCATTCCCTCCTTCTCCTTTGCTTCCATTCGTTTATCCTTCCTTGTGTTCTTGCTACTTTCCCAGCTCTTCTCTCCCTTTATTTCCTGTGCTTTTTGCTCTACTTCCTTGTTTCCTTCCCTCTTTCCTTTGTCCCTTTTTCTCGTCTTCTCTCTGTACTATAATTCCCACTTTCTTTCCTTATGTATTCTTTCTTTGCTTCCTTTTTTATCTTTCCTTCATCACTCCCTTCTTTGTTCCACCTTCCTCTTTTTGTAATTGGTACTTTCCTTCTTTTCTTCATTGCTTCTTCCCTTCCTTTTTTAACCCCATATGTTCTTCATACGTTCCTTTTACATCCTGTTTCTTTCTCTCCCTCTCTGAGTTGTTCTTCTTTGCTTCTGTCCTTCTATCCCTCCGTGTGGACTTGCTACTTCCCTGCTTTCTTTCTTTGACTCATTCTTCTTCTCGTCCTTTATTCCCTCTGTGCTTTCTGCTCATCTTTATGTCTCCTCATCCTCTCCTGCCTTCCTTTTTTATGTCAGTCACTTTCTTCTTTGTGTATTTTCATCTTTCTGTGTCCGTTTTTTCTTCCTCTCTCCTTCCTGTCTTTTTTGCTCTTGAATCTAAAACCACTAAAATTTCTAAATTAGGATCATTTTGGGAATTCTCCGCTCATTTCTCTGCAGTTTTCAGATATTGACTCCATGTTTGGAAGAAATCTGAAAGCAGCTGAGTTATATTGAACATTGGTTGAACTGATCTCACCACACTGGCATCTTTTAAGAAAACAACAGATTTTAGAAGTAATTACTGTATCTCCACTAAAAGTTCTCAACCTCGCTCATTTCAGACTTCAGACTGTGCAGCCGAACTTTGTTCTTTTAAAGTTTCTTTTAAAGTTTAGTGGAGGTCTCAACATTTCCAAAAACACCAGATATGTTTGTGTGAAATGATGCTATGAAACATTTCTATCTGACAGAAGGCTGTGGTTATCGTACTGCTGTAATGAAGATATACACAATGTTTATGTGATACTGTTAGAGCGGGATAAGATAATTTTTCCGACCTTAAATCGACTTTAAAAATAATAGAGAAAAAGCCGTTGTGTGTTGAATTGATTGTTGCAGTGACACGTTGTTCCCTTGCCCTCTCACCACATCTCTCCTCTCCGTCCCTCCCTCAGGATGAATTCCATCCTTTCATCGAAGCCCTGCTGCCCCACGTCCGGGCCTTCGCCTACACATGGTTCAACCTGCAGGCCCGCAAGAGGAAGTACTTCAAGAAGCACGAGAAGCGCATGTCCAAGGAGGAGGAGCGCGCCGTGAAGGACGAGCTGCTGGGCGAGAAGCCTGAGGTCAAACAGAAGTGGGCGTCACGCCTCCTGGCCAAACTGCGCAAGGACATCCGGCCCGAGTTCAGGGAGGACTTTGTGCTGACGGTGACGGGGAAGAAGCCGCCGTGCTGCGTGCTGTCCAACCCCGACCAGAAGGGCAAGATGAGGAGGATCGACTGCCTGCGCCAGGCGGACAAAGTGTGGAGGCTGGACCTGGTCATGGTGATTTTATTCAAAGGGATTCCCCTCGAAAGTACTGACGGGGAGAGGCTGGTAAAGTCTCCTCAGTGTTCGAACCCCACCCTGTGTGTGCAGCCGCATCACATTGGAGTTTCAGTCAAGGAGCTGGATCTCTACCTGGCCTATTTCGTGCACGCAGGTAAATCCCACAATCTCTTCTTCTTTATGTGTGTGTGTGTGTGTGTGTGTGTGTGTGTGTGTGTGTGTGTGGGTTGCTGAGCAGCTGCAGCTCTTTGTTTGGTCTTTGTGAAGGTGCGACTGTGATGAACATCGAATGCAAACATGAGAAACGTGTGTTGAATGTCACACCAACAACACACGACCACTGACGCTCCACTGTCCTGTTGTTGTTTTATTGTGTGTGTGTGTGTGTGACTGAAAAGTGTCGGATCATCACAGGTGGTTTGGCGTCTGGCTTTGTATCAGTTCATCTCTGCTGCATTAACTGGTGCTTGTGGTTCATTGATTCATGCTTTTTCTTATCTATAGATATATTTAAAATATTTTTCTGCAAGAAAAGAAAGTGCAGTGACTCCACTTGACTTTATATCTTCTCGACTGATGACTCAAGTCATCGACTTGTATCCCTAATATTTCTAATACCTGTAGCATTTAACTTGCATCTAAACTGAATTATATTCCTTTACTGAACATCCAGAACTGTTGGCGTGTCTCCTTGGTTTGTCTCGGCTGTTCTGTTGCAGCTTCTCTCAAATTTGTAGTTGGATTGTGGATGAAATTGGTCCACAAATTTGTTACATTTTTTTTTAACCATAACATGTTACGTTAGCTAACCTTACAAGCAGATATATAATGTTGTGCAATCCAGTAGACGTCGGTCTGTATTCCTTGAGGGATTTACTGTTAGAAATCAGGCAGCCCGCCTGTGGGCCCTCCTAAGGTAACAGCTGCTGTATTTGTTGTTGTTTAAGTGGTTTACTCATCGTTTGAAAGCTACGCTCGTTGCGGTGTCATTAATGCTCAACATTTTAAGGTATACCCACTACAGCAGGCTCAGTAAACACACACTTCCAGATGATCTAAATCCAGCGAAACATTTAAACATATTATTACATCCGTAGATATCCAAGAACTGCCATTGCATTGATGCAAATGTTTATATGATCCATAATTTCTCCAGTTCTGCATGTACACAAACCGACTGGCGGCAAACCCATGACCTTTTGATTGACACCTCACTTGAGCCAGTTGGAGCCTTCCAGTGCTGTTGCTATGGCCTCCAAAGCCAACCAGAGCCTGAGCTGAAGGGACGTGCTTCACTGACATTTTCTGGATTAGAAGCCATTTAAGTGGCCCACAGAGGCCGCAAAGGCTTATGGGTCTTGTAGTCAGTGACACTCCGAAGAGCCACAGTGGAATTGAACTGCTTACAGGGTAAACAGGCTGGTACAAATAATAAGCGCCTGAACAAAACCGTAAAGAAACACATGGAAAATGTTTATTTTCTGCTTTATGATATGGTCCCATTGTGTTTCAGTTTACTTTGGACATGGCTTGGAAAGGTGTTTTAGGTGAATGTTACAGGACTGTAGAGAGGCTCAGATTTAAAGTCATCATCAGATATTTTCCGTGAGCTTCTACGTTGTTTGTTGACATTGGAATCAACCGTTGGAAACTGCTTTTGGACCTTTCAGTCGAATCAGATGGTCTTCAGTAGCTGCAGAAATTGAGTAACTCGACTTTTGAGCCACAGCAGACAAGTCCGAGAAACAAATGGAAATCTGAAGACCAAGACAAATGATTAAACTCCATCTGCCACAATTTTCCTTTTCTGCGTCAAGATACAAACTCTCATTTCTCTCAAATATTTGTTCACGTTGATTTCTGCTGTAAATAAGCTGAATTCTGCAGATTTTTTTCAGAAAGTATCTTTTAGGATCCAAGTCCTCGTCTTTGTGTCGATGAAACTTGTTTATCTGTTGGTTTGAGGATGAAAACGCACCTTCCTCTCACAGCAAACTGCTCTGTCTCTGAGACAAACATGTTATCAGCTGCAGACAGGCATAATTTCATCAGCGGTCAGTAAAGCAGAAGTCTGAGGAGAAAGGACAGTCTGTGCCAGAACCTTGTCACCCCGGCGGCCTCTCTGAGAGCGGAGCAGGTCGGGGAGTTCTGGGTGAAGCTGGCACACCTTTCAGGTTTAAAAAAAACACAATTATCTCCGGAGCGATTGCTCAGCACGTTTCCACGATTTCTGACTGATTCCACGGGAAAATAATTTGGCTGGTTGGAATATTTGTGCGTGCAGCAGCGAGCATGTAGAGGAGGTGTTTGGCAGACGGTTTAAGTGCTTGGCACAGAGCTCGCTCTAAGTTTGTTGGAGCTTTAGAGTTTTCTTGAAAAATGAGGACAGCTTCCAGATAACCAGGTGACAAGCATCACTTTCAGATTCCTTCACCATGATAATACTGACATGTCCTTCTTATCATTCCAGTCCTGAACGTTTAATTCTCTAAGAAGAATCTGAGAATATTTCAACCTGTTTCTAATAAAAATCCAACAGTATTTTGAAATTCAATTTCATTTCTCTTAAATTTCATAGTTCATTAATGACGTTGAACAGGGGTGTCATAGTCAGGCGAAAAGTGAGAAAAACCTGGAATGCAAAGTTTGTTTTTTTTTATTGTTATTTTATTCAGTAATCAGTAACGTAACTAAATTAAAATTGGCTGAGTAAAATGGTTGGAAAACTGACCTTTCTATAAAAGAAACAGTGGGCGCGTCCTGAGGCCCCTTAAAGGTTCAAAACGCTTTAGTCAGCCGCTGCACTAGGATCTGTCTCTGTGCGCAGCGAGAGCCGTGTGAGTGACTGCTTTTGCTTCCTGAGCACCAACTAACATGTCTTCCCCAAGAACGGGAAATCAAGTAAGAAAGAAAGAAAAGGAAAAGAAACTGTTAAAGGGACGGTGGCCCCAAAGAGAATGCTCATGCATAGGGCCCAGAATTTGGTGCTACTCCCCTGACGTTGGAATCGATAGCTGGGAAACCAGCCTGTTCTCATTTCCAAGGTTTTAAATATCTCCGTTTTATCAGTGATTTTGGCGTCAGACACCAACACCAAAAGGCTCCTTTCGCTGTGGTGTGATACGTCGCCGGGCATCATAAGGTTATAACGCCACCAGATGGCGGCAGTTTGAAACACCAGCACTAAGAACATGAAATAAGGAGCTTGAACGTCCCTGTTGCAGGAGCAAGGGAGGGAGGGAGCGAGGGGAGGTTAATGGGTCCAAAAAGCCACGGACTTTCACCCAGGAGCTCGCTGTTAATTTCCTGTGCCACACCATGATGTTGTTTTCTAACCTAACCACGTGTTTTTGTTGCAACAGGAAATAAATGTAAAAATTAGGTATTTTATATAGGTTGTGATTTTATTTTGTAAAAGAGTGTTTGTATCCAGCACGCACAAACTGTTTAAATTCACACAAACGTCATCATAAGATGCAGGAGGACACCTTACACATCATGTGTAGACATAAAAGTCCACTGATACATGTGGACCTCGAGGTCCGTCAAACAGCAGCTGTGAGCCTTTAAGCTGTGTCACATGATCTCCAGCAGGTGCAGAAGTTGAGTTCATTTTGAAGTCCAGTTCAGACCCAAGATTTGTGACGAGATGATTTGAAACATGCAACTAGCATCAGAAGGACTGTATTCATAATCAATATGCCACATTAATATAAATAACGAGCACCAATTCATCAGTCAATGAGAATGTGTTTGTGGGCGGGGCATAAGCACATACAGCCAGCAGCAGCGACCCACCGCCTGACACCGGCACACCGTGAGGACGGACCTGCTGCAGCAAGCCAACACGCCGTCTGTGGTCATTTTGACTTGACCAGCGGACTTCACTACAAGCTGATTGGCTGTTGAAACAGGTGATGTGCTTTGAAACCAGCCGCCGGCCATTTGACCAGCTGAGTGTCAGGTGACACCATCAGCCGGCTTGAGTCAAGCTCAGACCGGCCAGTTCACACTGCTGACACTTTCTCTGTGACGTTCTGAAATGGTTTTGTCTCGTCATGAATCTTTGGCCTGAACTGGTTTAAATACCTTTAAGACTGTTTTCGAAACAGTGGTCACAAAAGAGAGGAAGATCATGTGAGATGATTGAAAGCTCCAGAACTGCTTCTAAATGCCACAGTTCTCCTTCCCGTTCAAAGACACTGACACTTATGTCTGAAAAATACTTAATAGTTTAATTTGTTCTGATTTGTTTCACTGTCTTTTGAGAAAATGTATTTGTGAGGGTTCAGAGAGAGACGGAGCTTATTTGTGTAAGAACATCTAAAAACATGACGTGATACGGAGATGTGTTTTTGGAAAACAAGGTGTTTTTAATTTTAGATGTTCCTTCAGGTCTCATCCTGTTTTTGTGGAGGTTAAGTTTCATCTGCGATCTGTCAGCAGACACAAACACTCGGAGCGCTCTGGAAAGATCGCCGTCCCTGAGCCTTAATTACAATCATTTCCTTCTCGCAGACTAAAGCCTCTCTGAGCCCAAAGACTGCTCCCATTCTCCTGCTCTGCATCCAGATAGCCTCTCAGCCCTCGTGTGTGTGTTTTCACTGTGCGGTCGCAGTAATCAGCTGTGTGCAGGTTCACACTGAGCTCCCTTCAGAGGAAAAAGGTTTGGAGGCTGAAACGCTGCTGCAGTGGCTGGTTTGTGGTTTTATTCTGAGGTGGACGCTCAGTCGGAAAAGCTCTGATTCTTGGCCCAAAGTGAGAAAGCGTCAGTGAGGTTTCTGTCTGGATCAGCTACAGAAACACAGAGGGGATCATTTGTGGTGGAAATGCTCGAGAATATGTTTGTTTTAATTTTCTCTTTTCCTAAATTTAGGTTTTATATTTGATGCAGGATGTTGAAGCCTTTTCACGACAGAGCGTTGAGGATTTAGTCTCTTCTGAAAGAGGTGAGAGGGAGACGAGCTCCCCCCTCTCTCCCCTCTTCCTCCTCCCGGTCTGGGCTGCAGGAGGATCAGGTTTCGTCCTGCCTCTTATTTAAGGCAGCGGAGCTTTTCTGGAGCGGCGGCGTTGATTAAAAGCCATGTGAAGGCGGACCGACCTCAGGGCTGCCAGGGCCGGAGGCGGGGTCTGTCAGGGCAGCTCGACTCGGTA